CCTCAATTTCATAGTTGGTTCATTTTTTAATGAGAAATCAAAATTCACAAAAATATGATTAAGATGAGATCACTCTTTTATTTTTGACTAAATTGATAAAAATAAAAAATAATTAAAAAAAAATAAACTAATATATAGAGCATAAGAGAGAATGGCAAAATGGGAAATTTACGCTAAGTTGGGAGATTTTTGAATTTTTTGAAAAGGAAGGTGGTGTCTATATTATTGTTATAAATCTCAAAGGAAGTCCGTGTAATTTCCTTATATAAATTGTCACGGATCGTAGAATGGAGGCTCCACATAGCATCGCATTGATGGGCCATCCGAGGCCCAAGCGTAAGCACATTCCGAGGCCTTTACTCATTCCCAAGTCCTATTCATCCCGAGGACAGCATTCTCAACCGAGGCTCTCCAGTAGCCCCCGAAGGCCCACGTGGAAAGCAACCAATGATGAAAATCTTTAGTTGAATGATTGATGTGACATTGGTGTAAAGTATCTTGTGTCTTGTCTTGTCAATATAAGAGTATTAAATGCTTTGATAGGCTAGAGAAGTCAACTAGATAACTATGATTTGATGTCTTGACCGAGGAGATGAGATCACGTGTAAATTGATCCAAAAGTCACCATTTGAGTTGTAACACTATAAATACCCCCACCATGTAACACAAAAGAGGTTAATGAAACTCCAAATACATAAAGTAATATGATTTTCTCCTCTCTCTCGTTTAACATCGTATTTTCTACTACAAATCTTGTTATTTATCGATTGGTTTCTTATACAATCGTGTTATATTCATCTTGCCGGAAGCCCGAACGATGACGTCTCGTGTCGTTGAGCTCCTCCAACGTCCAGATTTTAGAGCTATCATGATCGTCGATCGGCATTATCGTGTTGGATTAAGCTTACGTATACGCGAGTGGGCCCGACATCTGTTGGCAACATTTTTTGGGGTCAACATAAATATTGAACCAGTCTAAACTATTAAATTATAAAAAACAAATTTAAGTAGTGTGATTTATGATAAAATTATTATGAATAATTGAAAATAAGGTTCAATAGTTAAAATAAATTGACATATTCGGATACAACCCATAAGGATTTGAAACAAAATTGGAAAAAAAAAGACAGAGAATTAATCTTCTTCTCATCTCCTCTTTGCTACCTCTATGATATCTCACAACTTCATTTCATAGGAGCTCTTGAATATGAGTTTTTCGTATTCTTTTCCAACCTCATCAACTTAATGAGAATAAGATGATGGTTGAAAATCGATGAGTCGATAATAACAAGTTCTTCATCCAATTTACAAAATGAAGCAACAGAATAAAAAAATGAGGTGAGCACCTCACGAGGAAATTACCGTTTTTTGGAGCATATGTTTGTTGACTAGAACAAGTGATTTGCTTATTTGAGCATATCCGGGAAAGATTAAAAAAAAAAAAAGAATTGGAATCTTTCTGAAGCTTTTTAAAGCTTGGACATCATGATAAATTTAAAAATACTGACAATTAAAATATAATAAAGGAATATAATACTATAATTTAACAAGTGGATCGTGGAAATATTCAGTTATTCTCAATGCAAATCATATCGCGTGCGAAGTTACTAGATACGAAAAATTGCCAATCGTGTTCTCAACCACACCATGTTGTATATATTGATTTAAGAAATATAAGAACTCTCTTTTTTATGTCCCTACAAATAGGTTGCCAAAAGTCCTCCTAAGATTCCTTTGAAATTTTATATGTTCCTAGTCCATTTTTTTAGAAGGGACAAGACACCATCTTGGGACCATGTACCATTTTCAAATTTAAAATGATGATGTACAATCCAAATTGCAAATCCCTTTCGACTTTAGCACTGTAGGATGTTCGACTGACAAATTTTTACACTTGATTTTTATACTTTATAAAACTAGGAAAGTTGGGGTCTTCATATTTCCACGTTCGCATGTTGATTCAATACTTTTCATCCACTGTTTCATAATGTTTTGGAAGAACCCTATCGCGCATCTGATGGATGTTGATGTAGTTGTGAGTTGCTTGGCCTCTTGTGTCGAGTATTAAGGACCTTCTTTGAGTAGGAGAATTTGTGGTCGATAATAGGTTCGTGCTAACTTTTTCTTTCTTAGTGGACGAACCATCATGGTGTTTTTTTTTTTTTTTTTTTTTTTTTTTTGGTTTTTTTTTTCTTTTTTTTTTTCAAATTTTTTTTTTTTCCATATTTTTT